GCAATGGGACAGTTTTGATTATCCAACTGAACTTACTTAGCCACACAGAATACCTGAATAAATCAAGAAGGGTTAGTTAGGGCCAGACAAAATACATTCTAGTGAGATAAGAGTAGGTATAGTTTTGCTCAGAAGGGTCATTTGTCATCTACCCTATAGCTGAATGAGTCCAGCAAAATGATATCTACATATAAAGTATGTAGGTAGTGGTGAGCAGGCCTTTATAGGTTAAAAGAATGAAAAAAGACAGTTGTGCTCAAAGATAAGCAGCTGAGTTCTTAATGTTAAAGGAAAAATGAGTATACAAAAGAATTGAGTTAAACTACCAGATATGTCAAAGCCTTCTTTATTAAATGTAGAGAAGGGCCCCAAAGAGCGTGCAGTAGCTTCAGCTCAGCTTTTCAACGAACCTCTCTGAGCATGCCCAGAGTTTTCATAGACCAAGTGTCATATTAGGCTTTTAGTTTTCAGTAGGTTCAGAGAGGAATTATATTTTTACTCAGATTAATTCTAACATCCTGTTAATGACAAGCTGGTTAATGAGTCCATTGACAGAAGAATGTAAGATCAATTGTACTGTGGCTTTTCAGTTTATATTCCCTTCATAAAGAAAAGCTGATCAATTATATTGAAAAATCTATATTTGTAGCCCAAAAATAAATTGTTATCAGTAGAACTTTGCTGAGGTCGGCAACCTGCAGGGTAAGGTGTGTTTACTTTCAGTGAAAATTGCTGATTTTCAATAATTTTCTAGTTGCAAGGCTAGCTTGGTTAGCCCCTGGGCAGAAAAGAGTTGAGATACCATGCCAGATACTGCTCTCTGAAGAATGGTCTGGTGTAAGGTTGGACCGTGGCTGGCATCTGGGACCTTGGTTTTCAGGAGGGTTCCCACCACTCCCATAACTGATAGGGGTGGCTCAGTGTGTCTAAACTGTGCAAACCATGTGGTTTGCACTGAACTCCTGCTTTCCCTCCGGGAGTCTGAGATTTTAGTGTAGGATTGCAAGAGGGCACCTACATGGCCAGCCTCCAGGAGGAACCCCAGATGCTGTCTCTAATGGGCTTCCCTGGGCAGAAACATCGCACACATGTTGCTGTATTTTTGTTGCTGGTTGGCGAGCGTGCTCTCGGTGACTGCTCAGGAGGAAGAGAGCAAAGGGAAGCCTGCCCACGGATTCTTCCAGATTCTCCCTCGGCCTTCTCCCCTCATGGTCTGGCTGTATGTCCCAACTCTGTCACCAAGATGAATCTTCGCCAGCTGTACAGCTATACGTTGAGTCCCAGGACTCCTTCTGGTGACTCTCTCAATGTGAGGGTGGTCTTGCAGACCCTTAGCAAAGCCGCTTGCCACAGGCGTTTCACCTCCACAGGCCTTAATTTAAAAAGCAGCACAGACTTAATGCTTTTCATCAGAAACTTGTCAAAGGATTCGGTGTTTCCCCCTGTTCTGACAAGGTAATTGAAACTCCAGATATATTTGCAGTCTGCGATTTCAGTACATCAGCGTGCAGCAAACATTTTAACCAGTAAGCAACTCTGGGAGGGAATCAGACAGGCGGTGACTGTACACAGCAGAAACAAAAGTGCACTTCTTAAAGAAAATGAGGCAGAAGTGTCATTGTTCCTTTAGCCTCGTGGCACAATTATTCTTTGTTTTGAGAACTGTGGGGAAAAAAAATCTAAGAAGCCATATGAAGATCCATTGTGTTGTGGGCTTCTACAAGTATCAGTCGAGGGAGAATGTGGACAGTGATAGAAAGGGCTCCTGTTATTAATGAATGTCATCTTTTACAAGTACAATAACATTGTCTTCACTACAGCATCAGTATGTGTTTTGTCTGCTCTTCTTTTTAGGTGCTGGAGGGCTGTTAATATTTGTGAACAAAGGAAGGAAAAATAGGCACAAGGTATATACTGAAATTCAGTTGAAAACAAAGAACAAAACTGTTCGTTGAGATCATAGCATTAAAAGCAAAGATGCCTGACATCAGATAGAATTAAAATGCCATCCATAATTTTTAAAAAAGTCATGAAAAACTATTGTAACACAGTAGAAAATGGTGGAGAACAATAATGCAATGTACATCTCAGCATCACTGTGATTTTTTTCTCATCCTTTAACACAACGTGATTCTTCAGAACATATAAAATGCAATGTTCAGAGAGTGTTTTAACACATTTCATATGGTTTCCTAGGATGGTCCCAGAAAATGAGTGATTATTTAAGAAAGAATTTCATCTATTGAGAGTATGGCTGGAAACTCTTTTCCTTTCCTCTAAGATGCCTGTGGCGTTTATACATCCTTTGCCTCTGCCCCCCTCACCCCGTCTTTCCTCTGCCAGCCGCTTACTACTGATAACTTTATTATTTTCGTACAAATGAAATGATTTCTTTATGGAAGAGAAGCTAAAAGATGGGCCTTAAAGGGAACTGGGTTTTGAGAGAGAGTTGCAAGAGCATAGGATTAAGAGTGATGAGTAGTTTGAGGACTATAGATTTTTATCACTAGTGGAGTTGCTCTCAGCCTATTGAAATGATCTGTCCTTAAATGGGAAGTGATGTGACCTGTAATTATGGCCACCAAAGACTTTCAGTATTGTCATAAAAAGGATTCTTTTCCAATATCCTCAGTCTAATTAAAATACATGAATCATTTATAACAAAGACATTTTTATTTGTTACATTCCTCTTAGGTGAGTGTATTTGGGTTCACAAAATGCTAAGACTTTAAACTCCTGTATGGAAGGAAAGTGACTCCATCACTCCTTACTTAGATTTTTCTCTGCACCCTCAGACTCCTCAGTGAAAAGGGTAGGAGGTGATGGGGGGAAACCTTGCTCCTTTTGTTGCTGTTATAAAAAATTAATTTTACTTTGTAATTCATAACTGAGAGGTGGATTGCAACTCTGTATGATTTCAGTTCTAGAATTTCCACCGGGTTCTTTTTTTATTTTTATTTATTTATTTTTTAAATTTTGGTAGCATTAATATACAATTAGATGAGCAACATTGTGGTTACTACATTCCCCCCATTATCAAGTCCCCACCACATACCCCATTACAGTCACTGTCCATCAGCATAGTCCACTGGGTTCTTTTTTATAGTTCCAATTTTTTTGTTGAGACTCCCAGTCTTTGTATTTTTATGTACTTCAGGGAGTATTTTATGTGCACATAAATAGCTCCTTTAATATCCTTGCCTAATAATTCAGACAACTGGGTCATCATAGGATTGATCTTGCTTGATAGGCATTTCTCTTAAAAATTGGGCTACATTTTCCCATTTTGTTGTGTAATTTGGGTTTTACCCTGGGTATTGTGAGTGTTATGTGTGGACACTAGAGTCTGTTTTAGTCTCTAGAAGAGTTGATATTGATATTTTGTTTGTTTATTTTTAAATCAGGTACATCATTTGCTTGGTTTCAAACTGCGTGTTCTGAATCTCCTGACGTGGCAACAGCTTCAGTTTCAGTTTTTTGTGTTAGGTTGTGCAGGTCAGGATTCAACCACAGAACTGAGCAAAGTTTATAGAGAGAAATTGGTACACACACACACACACACACACACACACACACACACACACTCACACACACGTGTACACCCCTCCTTTCCAATGTTATCCCCTTGCTTTCTGGTGGCTGTGGTTTCCATGGACTCTGTCCTCTGGATCTTCTGGCCAGAAACACTGCAAATTTTCTGTAAGAGTATTAGCCACTCTGTGTAGAGATACAGTTGTTTCATCCTCAGACTAAATGATGGAAAAACAGGCATTTGTGTCACTGTTACATTTTGGTAATGCTCGCAGTATTTCAAACTTTCTCATTATTATGGTAATCAGTGACTATGACTCACTGAAAGCTCAGATGATGATTAGCATTGTTTAGCAATAAAGTATTTTAAAATTTAAAGTATGTATATTATTTTAGATATAAAGCTATTGCATACTGAATAGACTACGGTATAGTGTAAACATAATTTTTATATGTGCTGGGAAGCCAAAATAAAGTGAGTCATTTGCCTCACTGTACTGTGGTAGTCTGAAACCAAACCTGCAGTACCTCTAGATATTACAGTATCTCTAGAGGTATGCCCATATTTGTATATATACATATATAAAGGCTATATGCTAAAAAAGCCTATTGGTATATATTCATATATAAAAGGATAGTCATATATATATATACACACACACACACACACACAAATATATAAGAAGTCACATATCTGACATGGTAGATTTTTTTTTTTTGGCTGATAAGTTGGACTTTATTTTTTTTTAATTAATACAGTCTTACATTAGTTTCAAGTGTATAGCACAGTGGTTCAACAGGTACCAACCACATTATTAAATCCTTACCCCCACTAGTTCAGCTACTGTCTGTCAACACAGGAAGATATTACAGAATCACTGGCTGTCTTCGTGCTGTGCTACTATCCCTGTGACCAACCTAAATTATGATTGACAATTTTTGTGCCCCTTTATCCCCCTCTCCTTCCCCCTTGGTAACCACCAGTCCTTTCTCAGTGTCTGTGAGTCTATGACATGGTAGACTTTTAATAAAGACAGAAAATCCAACACATTCCTGTGGAATCATATGAAGGTATTTGTTATGCAGTATCACTTGGACTGCACTCAATCTTAGCCAAAAGCCTGAAAAGCAATTACTGTACCATTTGTGATATTGTGGTAAAACACAGATGAATTTAAATATGGCAGAAATTTTCTTAACTGACTTCCTCCTGAAGGTGTTGTGAACTGATGGTCCCCATTTCAACTAAACATAAACAAGAATGGAAAGCATTTAACTGATGTCTACACCACACTGAACACTCTAGGGCACTAAAACTTGCCTACTTTCTTTTTCAGCAGCTTCTATTTATCGGACAATTGCAGGTTCTTTCCCAGTGAAGATACAGCCTGTTACTTTATTCAGGCATTTGTATATTCTAACCATCTAGGGGAGAAGGGGAAGGGAGGGACAATGAGAGACACCAACCATCAGGGAAAGATGCACTATGAACTTATTTTATTTATTGGTCAAAGAAGAAAAACTTCATAAATAACATAACACGAAAAGTAAAAGTGGGATAGTAAAAAGTTGATGGTCCTTAATCCGGCAGCTACGTGTATCTTCTCATTTCAGTTGTACAGTTGATTGGTTACTGCTTTCATCCACGGGCAGAATACCTGAAAGTAAGAGTAAATAGTTAGGAACAGAGAAGTAAAAACAGAAGGAAACTCAAGACGCTGGCTTTGGAAGGGTAGCCGGCAGGGCTGCGGGGTACCAGGCGGGCCAGACCTTCAGTAGAAGCAGACGGTGTGCAGGAAGGACCGGCCTTTCCTCCTCTCGAAGTCCTGCAGCAGCAAGTCCATGTCATTCTCCATATCGTCTGTGTACTGGAAGCACTGGCACATCTCGCAGATGAGGAATGCCCCCAGGGTGGCGTCTTCTGGGTTGTCCTTGATGTCTATGTTGATCACGTGCACTGGCTGGCAGGTCTCTTGCTCTCTAGAATACATTTCTTCCACAACTCGGTCATATACTTGCTCTTCACAGGTAAAGATCAGGTCAAACTGATCTCTGCATTCCTGGAACCTTTCTGGCTGGGGCTTGATTCTCCTGTTTCTATCCAGCATATGTAAGATGCCATTTTGCGTATAGAAATCTCGATCTTTTTTACGGAGATCGTTGTACATCTTCTCATATGTGGTTTTGAAATCATAAACGTTTGACTTCTTGCATGCTGGTCCACAAAACATCATGCAGCTTCCTGTGCCAAAGGAACGGACATTAAAACCTCGTTTGCTGAGGATGTAGTGTGCCTCCATGCTGCGGTTCTGGTTACTTGAGCACACCACTGCCACCCGCAGCGGGGGTGACTCCATGGTGGCGGCCTCACTGTCGGCAAACGATGAGGCGCGGTCATTTGGTGACAGCACTCTGAGGGAGCAATTGCAGGGCGGGACGTAATGACGCAAAAGCTGCGCATGCGTATTTGTGATCCATTTGTGATCCCACAAGTTGGGTTGTCGAAGAACAGTAATGTTCCCTCCCAAACCGATTTATTCCAATAATCAGGAATATCCATAATTTGGTCCCAAATGTTATACTTCTACATGTACAGTTGGAATTGCATAATTTGACTCAGTATTTCATAAACTGATGAAATATAAACTGGAAAACTTGTTTTCATGAAAATGCTCTGAAAGGATTTAATGCAATTGAGTAGCTAATAAAATTGTTATTAAAGTATGTATGGGAGAGACGACTCATAGTTTTGACAAAAATCAAAAAATCTGGAAACATTCTTTACTTAGATTGCTTCACAATTGTCTTTAGTTTCCTAAAAGCCCTTCTCTAAGGACACCGAGAAATGGAAATTAATGCTGATAGAATCATCTCAACGTTAATCGTAACGCTGTGCTGGTTAAGAGTGTAAACTTGGGAGCCAGACAACATGTATTTTAACCATATCTCTACCTTTTATTGACTGTCATCTTAGGCAAGTTTCTTAACCTCCTGTGTAAAATGGGGATGATAACAATTTCTACCTGAAAGAGGTACTGGGAGGATTAAAAACGCCTGACACATAGTAAGTGCTCAACTATTATTATTAATACTATTACTGCTACTATATACGTGACTTATTCAAGAATGACTGTGTGAATCTCAAAGAAGAGTCCTAAGCTTTATGTCAAAAGACTGATAACTAAATGTACGTGTAGTTTCATGCTAAAATATTTTTTTTCAATTCCCCACTTTAGGCAATTTTGCCAATTAACAAACCAATTCCAATCCTAGTTGCTTCTGATGAGGGATTCCCCTATATGTTGGTTTATTTTTCTTAAATTGCTACCTTTAAAAGACACATGTAAGACCCCAATCCTGTGAAGATTCAAAGCTCCTATGACATATAAGTGTCAGCCCACTCAGTCTTTTCTTCACACTTTTTTAAAAGATTAAGTCTAAAACAGTAAGATAATCTGCCTGTGGCCCATGGCACCTAGTACCACCCTGGCTCTGCTCTTCTGTCTGTACACACCATTCATCTTACTCAATAAGGGCCAAGGCCCTTTCAAGCTGAGATTGCCTTCTATAGCTGGTACAGAGGATTCCCTATGCAACTTCCATTAAATATTTTAATGTTGTTTGCATCTCTGTTGTTATCTTACTTTACAGAGGCATATTGAAGTAGATTGTGTTAGAATTATCCTGAGACCTCATCTAATGTATTGCCCTGTGTCACCTAGAGGGGCCTACCCACCAGAAATGAGGGAAATGAATCAGTACCTCCTAACAAAATAAACAGAGTTATTTTTTATTTGGGATCATGATAATGTAATAACTACTTCTGGTTAGACAATAAAGGGCTGAAGTGAAGAGGGTACAGAAATCCCAGGTTGCTTCTGATAGAATCATCTCAATGTCTAAGTAATTAGGTATTGGGCTTTTCTTAAATGCCCTATATTGGAAATTTACAATTATTGGGAGACAAAATATCCCCTACGTTTTGGATCAGATTGGGAAAAAAACACTCTAAAGTCTATAGCTGTTTGATCGAAAGGGAAGACTCCATAGGAAGAACACAAGTATCGTCCAGTAGTATTTCTTAAGGTGGGGCGCTGTTGGGCTTCATCCCGGAGACTGAAGGAGACTTGGCCCTCTTCTCCCATTGATAATAGATTTAGGGAAAATCAACTGAGATTGTGATGAAACTAAAGGTATATTAGAGTTGAAGAAAAAATGACCAGCGAGCATTCAGAGCAAATAGAGAACAAATAGAAAATTACTAAAGGTTGTCTCTGTTTTTCTGTCTGAAAGCTGGTTGTTTGACTAAAGGAATTCAGGATTCACTCAAAAATCTTGGATTGAGAACCATAACTTTTAGCATTAAGAAGGGATGCTTATGGTTTATAGGAAAGAGCACAAAGTGAGGTGTCAGAAGACCTGGGTTCTAGTCCCAGCTTCACCGAGTGTGTATTAAGAGATGACTTAACGTGTCAGAGATGACTGAACAAGGACCAGACGCTCACTGGGTTCTAGGTGCTGACCCTTACCAGCTGTGACCTTGGTACAGTGCTTAACCTTTTCTAGTCTTGGATTTGCTATTTGCCAAGCAGAACCAAACTCATGGGTAGAAGTGACGATTACGTGGAGTAACATACATAATGAACACACTATGTCTGGTATACAGATGCTCAACCAATACTAGCTGTGATTTACTTATTCATTTGTTAGGGAGGAGGTTAGAGAGACTGGCAGGAAAGAATGAGCATCAGAATTGGAGGCATTAGCTTTTTCCTCCCTGGCTGCTTGAAGATCCACAGCCATCATGAATGGCATAGTAACTATCTGGACCAGGAAGTTCATGATCAACCCACTACTTCCATGGAAACAAATGGTCATTAATGGCATTCACCCTGGGAAGGCAACAGTACCTAAGAGAAATTTGGAAAAAACTAGCCAAAATGTACAAGACCACACCAGATGCCAACTTTGTATTTGATTTCAGAATCCATTTTGGTGGTAGCAAGACAACAGGATTCCACATGATTTATGATTCCTTGGATTTCACAGAGAAAAATGAACCAAGACTTGTGGGACATGGCCCTTTGAGGAGAAACAGTGAAAGGAATGCAAGAACAGAAATAAGATAGTCAGGGAACTGCAAACGCCCATGTTGGTCCCAGTAAAATGTGAGCTAAAGATGGGACAACGGAAGGAGGAAAGATTCTGCAGTGACTCGCTCTGTGGTGACTGTGCAGCTTTTTCATGAGAGAATCGATAAACTAAGAACTTAAAAAAAATACTGGTGGCATTAGCTCATTGAAAAGGAGCTCTTTTTAAGAGTTATCATTTACAGTTTTTCAGCCTGTAAAGAAATGTTGGTGCCCTAAGGCAAAGCCCGGTGACCACAGCCTAGTTCATCAAATCTCTCAGCACAGATGGTGCTCTTTCATGCTCAGGCCCAGGGTTTGTGTTGTAACCATTCTGTCTGTTCATGTGTTAAATAACTAACCTTGGGAATAAGAGACTATGCAAAAATACAATTTGTATGTATGGTAATTATTTGAGATTCTATTCCAGCATTAACAGTACTGTATTAATGCTGATTGTTCTTCCCCAACAATTGAGAAGTGTTTAGCCAGCAAAAAGATTACGCAACTCCCTGAGGGTAGAGCTTAGAGAGTGTGCCTATTTGAGTTCTCCAGGAAGCAGACTCTGAGACCATCAGGATTACAAGAAGTTTGGTGGAAGGGTGGAGAACTAACATCTATGAAAGTTAAATGGGGGAGGNAACAAGGTATTACATAGTGAATAAGTTCTTACATGGTGAACAGTGCAAGGGCAGTCATGTCACAGAAACTTTCTGTTTTGATCACGCATCATGAACTATAAACAATCAAGTCAGATATGATTATTCATTTGATTTTTATACTTGATTTATATGTGAATCCTACATTTCTTCCTTATTTTTTTTTAAATAAAATGCTGAAGTGGTAGGTAGATGCAAGATAAAGATAGAAAGCATAAGTTAGTGCTGTAAGAAGGGAAGTGTAGATGATCAGGTCTGTGCCTATAGACTAAGTATTAATCCAGGCTAGACCAGGGCAACAAAACATCCACGGATGCAGAAGATTTCTCTCAAAACAGGGGGGTGAGGTTCTAAGCCTCACCTCTGTTGACCCCCAATTTCTCACCTGATGGCCCCCCTGCAACTGTGCCTGTCTTAGGTTGTTCCTCCCTTGAGGAATCTTACCCGAACTTGACTGTTTTTTAAGGTCTGCTGGAATTATGACTGGGAGTTGTTGACTCTAAAATCAAAACTGTTAGAAATATATCTTAACATTATTAAGTTTTCCAATCCATGAACATGGTGCATCTTTCCATTTAGGGGGGTGCAGGTACTAGGATAGCAGGAGAAGTAGCAATAGCTAATTTGTTTTGCATAAAGTGGCACTAGGAAGACTTTACATAGTGGGTGTCTTGAGTTGTACCTTTAGTAAGGTGTCGGTGTACAGAGACAATAGAAAAGTCCTAGCTGCATGAAATTATAAGGCAATTACAGAGAGTAGTTTAGGATATATATGATTGGGTAAGGAGGTGAGTTTGCAAAGGTACACTAGAGCCAGATAATTAGAAAATTTGATACTGCTTAAGGAGTATTTTATGTTAAAGTGGGTGGGAGTCATGAAATGTTTTTAAGGAGCACACTGGCTTGATCATATTTGCCTTTATAATAAAGATATCTGGCAGGATTGAGAAGGGTGGATTGGAGTTGAGAGAAAGTAAAAGACAGGGAAACTAACTGAGAGACCATCCTGATCTAATCATGTGTGTGTGTGTGCATGTGTGTTTAGAGGGCCAATGAACTCCAGGCCAATTAAGTCATAATACATGGGGATGACATCCAGATATCATCAGTATTTTTTTTTACAAGTGTCCAGGTTTGGGAAACAATGACTTAGGCTCTGCTGTTTTTATGAAAATAACTACTATGGGATAGGTAATGGTCCCTGAAAAATGTCCATGTGCTAATACCCAGAACCTGTGGAAATAATATGTTACATGGCAAAGGGAAATTAAAGTTACAAATGCAATTAAGATTGCTAATTAGATGACCTTAAAATAAGGAGACCATTTTGGATTATTTGGATGAGCCCTATATAATCATAAGTGTCCTTAAATGTGGAAGAGGTAGGCAGAATTGTCATTGTGTTAGAGTAATGTCATTGCTGGCTGTGACTATGGAAAGGGGCCATCAACCAGCCAAGGAATATGTCTCCACAATGTGGAAAAGTCAAGAAAAAGGATCCTCCCTTAGTGCCCCCAAAGTGGGACGCAACTCTGCCAGTGCCTTGATTTTAGCCCAGTGTAAGGCTTTTCAGACTCCTGACCTCTAGTGCCAAAATGAATTTGTATTAAGCCACCAAGCTTGTGGTCATTTTCTTTTATGGCAGCTACAGAAAAACAATAGTGAGACATTATTAAGAAGACATTATTAAGAATCCTTGAATAAGAAAAAGAGAGAGAGAAGATAATTCCAAGGCTGTATTCCTTACATACAGTTGTTCCATGGTGAACATTTTTTTGTCTGTCCAGCACTTTTCTCTTCTGAAAATAGCATCTCCCCCTACCCTTTATTTATATTTAGAAATTTTCTCTTCTTCTTTTTCTCCAACTAAGTGTTTCTGTGGGGCAGAGGGTATCATTCTTATATCACACATGCACTTTCTCTCCAAGAATGGTTACGTTACTCAATCTTATCCAGTCATGCTCTTTATCCCTCTTTATCCAGTGTTCTAAAAATTGCAACTGAGGGAAGAGGCACATTCTTCCTGGTAACAACAAATTGTGCACCCACAATTTGTCAGAGGCCACAGTTCTAACTAAGCCTTCACAACGACTTTCAGAGGTTCTGAAAGAATGGCCCTGTCCAAGAGAGGCTGGCTTGAGAGCCTGACAGGGTTCAGAACAAGGCTCCTGTGGGGAAGTTGGGGTTCCTAGGGCCAGGATCCTCACTGAACTTAAACCACCTGATGAGGTAACTGGCCTGTTGCTAGGCTACCGCTTCCACACCTGTAGGCAATAAGCTATTACTGCACTATATAGACAGCTGGGCCCAGTGCTCTGTGCAGAGGCAGAGACGCTGGTGCTCCACCTACCGCTGGGAGAATAGGCCAGGTAATAAATCCTTTCACCCCAAAGAATGTTTTACTGTCAATTTCTTTGGTCACATTGAATCCATAGCGAACTTTCCCAGGGCTGAAACCCATTGGCAAGACACTGGGGTGACCCTGTAACTTTCCCTTTTTGCTTAAACTACTTCATTTTACTTTTAGTCCCTTCAATCAAAATATTCTGACCAAGTCAGACATAATAAACCCAGTAATCAAAGGACAGTTAACAAACATATATACACATGTATTAAGGATGCAAACATGACCTTTATTAACAGAGTAGTTTTTGTATGCTTTTTGTTTTTAGCTTTTGTTTATAGTTTTAGCATCTTCTGTATGTGAATCATTCTAGTGAAATGAACAGGACAAGGTCCTACTTCCAGGGTCTTATAGATTTATTCATGCTACAGAGTATGTGTCTACATTTACTCATATTAAAAAGAAAGCCACAGGGCCAAGAGTAAGTCATTTATGCTATGCCAAGTCCACCAAACTAGGGCTTAATGCCTAATTGCAGTTTCAACCTCCTGCACAAATGTAGTCCTCACAGTCAGTCAGGAGTTTTCTGGTAAACAGCAATGAGGTAATCTGTCACATGAGCCCTGTCCATCCCTGTCCTCTAAAAAGATGAGGGAATCTGCATAAGACCTCCTTCTCTTCCCTCTAAGGGAGGGTTACTTTGCCAAAACCCCCTTTTCTTCAGGTAATAACTTCTTGTCCAACTCTCCTTCCTATAAAAACCTTCCATTTTGTACAGCTGTACTTGCTAGATGGGCTGCTATCTGATTCACGATTTGCTTAACAAAGCCAACTAGATCTGCAAATTTGCTCGGTTGAATTTTGTGTAGTTTTTTTTTTTAACACCGATATGCATACCCTCTTGTGGTATGTCCTCAGTACAGTCCCCCTATGCGTATCTGACAAATGCAAAATAGAAATGAGTTCAAGAAGTCTGGTTTGCAAAATATACAAATGGAAGCATCACAGAGGTTAATGGGAAGAATTTTTAGATCTCTAAGGGCAATCCCCAGAATCTCCCAAAAAATGCTTGGTTTCAGTCAAGATGTTTGCTGGGAAATACTATTGGTGTGGCCCTGTGGCAAGTCTTTTATTCTTAGTAAGCCAAATGTTTCTCATTTCCATCATCATTAAGGTAAAAAGAAGAAAGGAAAAGTAATTTGGAGTAAAAGTACTTCAGGCCCACAGGCCAGTTCACTTAGGATTCTCTCAGGTGTGTTTTTTGTGTGTTTATTTTAATAGCTGTTCTGAAGGCACGTGAGATACTACAGCTGACCAGATTCTACACAGGAAAGCAGAGAATTTAACACTAAGCATGCATGCAGCTTGAAATAATAATCAAGTCAGGCTTCTTAAAATGCTAAAGGCCAGAAAACCTGAAACCACTAGGGCAAAGTCCACACACCAACACAGGACGAATATTCTTTGTTTTTCGGAGGGGCTTTAGAGAAGGCTCAAATTCTAAGGCGGCCACCTAAAAAGTAGGGTCGAAGATGGGTCTTATTTGACCACCTGTCTTCGTCCCAAAATATTCAGGTAGGTTTTTTCAAGGCTCTTTTAAGAGGAAAAGCAGCCTGTTGTCGCCGAAAGTTCAGAAACAGCAATAGTGTTCTCAGGGGAGGGGCTGAGCTTTAACAGTGGGCAATAGTTGGGTAGTCACGAACCACGTTCTGGGCTTGCACACAGCAAACAGGCATGTGAAGCAAGGTGCCCTACACAGGTGGTCCGTCTTCTGGGACGTTGTGCTCGTGGGTAGGAAATCTCCATGCCCCTCACCTCTGGAGCGTGGGATGGTGGGCGGGGTAAGAGGGCGAGAGAGTACTGAATGGGGAGATAGGCATGCAGAAGGGTGAATGGCTGGCTGGCGAGAACCCAGGGTGGCTCCCTGCAAGGCTTGTTGGCCCCGCGCAAACCCGGGATCTCGAGAGAGTGTGAGGGGCTCCCCGACTTCTCTTCCAGGGTTGTAAACAGACCATCCCTTCGTCCTGCGCTGCCGCCTCAAGAGTAGAAAGCTCCGGCCCGGTGCCCAGAGCGCTGTGCCTTCCAGACGGAGGCGGTGGAGGCCCCGCCCCTCGGTGTTCCCATCCCCCCTGGCCCCGCCCCCTCTCCGGGCCCCACCCATGCCTCTCCCTACCGCCCTTCCCAGCCGTCCTTCGCTTCAGGCTCCGAAGAGGCTCGGCGTCGGCGGGATCGCGCAGGCGCGGCTGGCGGTTCGCGGAGCGCCGAGTAGCGGCGCGGGGCACGCGGTGAGTGAGGCGGCGGCTCGGGGCTGGTAGCTGGGGGTTGGGGTTCGGGCCGAGCACCCCAGAAGGGATCGGAGTGTGTGCGGTGGCTAACGGGGGAGCCTTCCGTCCCTCGGGGAGAAGCCCGCCAGACGTGCGGCCGCGGGTTGAGCCGCGCGGCTCGAGGGTGTCCGGCTCGGCCGCATGGGGAGCGGAGTGCTCGGTGGCGGGAGTGCAGGAAGGGACGTCTGTGTGAGCAGAAAAACTGAAGGAAAGGGTTGCAGAGGTTGGAAGTCCACAGGCTAGGCAGGGCCGGGAGGCGCGCCAGTGGGGCTGGAGGGTGTCCCAGCTTCAAGTTCAGCACACCCCGTTTGGTGCCCCTGAGCGGCGTTCCCGGCCCATCCCTTCGCCCTGCGCTGCCGCCTCGGAGTGCGAAGTCAGCAAGAGCGTTCGCGGTCGCGGGGGAGAGGGGTTGGGAGAGGTGGGCTGTCTCCCGGGCTGGTGCCAAGGAGGGAGTGGCATTTGCGGGACTTCCCCCCACCCCATCCCGCCCCCGGGAATGTGTCCGTCTTCTGGTACGTTGTGCTCGTGGACGTTTTAACAAAGGCTATGACTGTCCTCTGGGCAGTGGCGGGCAGCAGCGGAGGCGGGTGGGTGGACGGGGGATGCGTACGAAGTCGCGGTGCGGCCCCGGGGAACCCGCGGGGGAAGGCAAGGCATCAGGGGAGTGGAAGGAAGGGGACTTTCCTGCCTCAGCCTTTTCCTTCTTGGTTCGCTGATTTTGATCGGTGGTAGGAACAGCCTCGAGAGGGATATGATTGGAAATCAGTGTGTGTTCAGACTCCGGCTGCTGCCATTGGTTTTCTAATTGTGTTGTGGGCGTATTTTCTAAGTGTCCCTTCAGGAGAAAAGCGAAACTAATGGAATTTAAGAGGAAATAATTGAGCGAATGGGTGAAGGAGGTGGAGCGTCAAAACTTAAAGCTAAATCAATGTCTTAGTGATAGTCATGGTCTAAATAAAGCCACACTTTGAAGGATGTGAAGGTGTGCTCAGCAGGCAGGGTAGGTGAAAGTTGATTAGGCTGCTGTTGATTAAGTCAAGACTGGTTTACTGTGTTTGTGTGTATGTGTGTGTGTGTACCTCTAAAACCGAAGTCAGTCAAAAGCAGAAATAAAGTTAAGAAACCCTTTTATTTCTTACAAGCAGTCATCCCCGTCTCTCTCTTGACCCTGCTGCAGCAGAAGAGAGCTCCACCCAATCTCTCCCGTCCAGGTCCAGACAAACCCTTGCACGCCCTTGTAATTGCCTATTGATATTGATATAGATGGACTAATAATTCTCTCCACCCCTTGGAAACACCTACTGACACGCAGATGCGCGAAAGCCAGGTGAGAGATTCTGGAAATACTACGATTTTACCCACAGAGGTGCTGCCAAGTTCTGGGGACGACTCACTTTAGAAACCTTAAAAATGATAATGGGAATATAAAACACTCAGGCAAATATTGTAATTTTGGATACGTTTACAAGGCTTTCATTTTCAAATTTAGAATTTTTATGAAGAGGAGTATCTGCGATCCCAAGCATAGCTGTTGATATTTTTACTCATTTGTTTAACTTAATACAATAAAACTTCTTCCTCCTCCACCCCTTTCCCTTGATTGTGAATCCTGTTTTATAAATATTTACTTTCATATCAGAAGTGTGTTTAAAGGCACAATCCACATAAACACACACACATACACAAGTATGGAGTGAACAGGATTTCTTTTGGTTATTGACATTTTACTCTTTTCCTGTTTGTTTTTTTTTTTAGGTTAAATGCCACTAGCATTACCAAATTTGGGGAGGGAGGTGTTAGGGGTGCTTTTTCCACTGCCTAATGAACTCTTCTTCATCCTTTCAGGCTTGGCCCAGTTCACTGATTGGAAAAATTTGCCAACTCCCCCAGAATGGATTAATCACCCTTTTTCTGTTAAGCTGATAGGACTGGTCTTATTTCTGTCAGGCTACAAGAACGTCAGTCTTCTGTGTTACCCCAGTCCCTAGGGCTGCTGGCTATGTACTAATTGCCTAATATATGCACTTCCAGTTAGATGTTAATACATGCTTTTAGATAATTCATACTGTGTAAAGTTCATGGGATCATAGACAAAATTTAGAATGCTGAAATTGTATTTAATATTTGAGCGACATTGTTTGGAATGTGGGTAAGAAATGAGTATGGGAATCTATTCTCATGTACTAGTCTCTGTAGTTTGCCCTCTAAAAAAGAGGCAAAAGCTTTGCAGATAGATACAGGCAAAACAGGTGTCAGAAAAAGGCCAAATTTTAGAACAGGTCAATTTCTGATGCTGAAACTAGTGAAAAGTCACTGTAAAACAGATTAATCATTTGTAGAAAGACACAAATAGGGTGCTGTTGGAATTTCAGAATTTATGAATGATTCAGGCTGGCCAGATGGTATCCTCTGAAGGCTAATAGAAAGAAACTGTAACCTATTAGACCAAATGGACTAATCAGTTGTATTATATGGCTCTTAAGGGGGCTTGAGTTTTTGGCTGATAGGTCTCTTCCCATGATAGGGCCCTCAATAGGCTTGGCCCATTTCTGCCAACCTGTCTCTGATATTCCTTGACATCTCTCAGCTCTACCAGTATCACTGGCCTTACTGTCACCTCTGGCTCTAAACGGGAATTATCTTTCTTTCGCTGCTTACTGAAGCTCATCACCTCCACACCTAGCTTTCTTTCATCTCTTGAATGGGTTTACCCATGGAAGAGTATCATGAGCAAATGATCATTCAATTTATAAATGAATAGAATTGATACTCTAGTTTTAAAATGAATCGGGATTGGCTACTTGGTTAGTCCAGGTTTCCTGTGCCTGGAAAGCTGAGAACCTATCCTGGCTATTAGTAACTTCTGTTTTTCTCTCCCCTCACTTAGTTTATCCCCTCTGCATCTGAATGTAAAAGCACTTTTTCTCCATGTCACGTATTTTTTATAACATCAATTATTGTTATTGTTCCTCCCAAACACTGCAGGTTGGTACCTGGCTTTTATGTGTAAAACTTGGGACTCGGGATGACTAGAGTCCATAAAAATCTTTTTTTAAAAAAAGTTCTTCATCCTCAGTGGTCTTTACACTCACTCACTGAAAAAATTTTCCAACCCACCTTGATTAAGGCCTCTTTCTGAAAACTTCCCTCACCTAGACTTCCTCCCCATAGTTCTGGTCCTCCCTCTTAATTCTTTGACCAGCCTCAGCCACTTCAGCTGAGTCTTAGGCTTCTGTACAAGATTCTTTCTTTCCCACTCTGTGCAGGAGCCAGTCCTGTGGTGGTCAGGGGCGTTGAATTTTGAGGCAAAATGTTAAACTTCTTTCTCTGGGTAAATTTCCTCATCTGTAAAAATGATAATATTTTCCTGATTAGTGAGATCAGGTGTATTAACAGCTGCTTACAATGTCTAGCACGTACTACTTGCCCTGAAAATGATAGCTGTTGTTGTCATTCCTGTTTCCTAAGAGCAATATAATTTCAGTGACAAATAACTTTAAAATGTGGACGAATCGACATCACCTACTCTGTTCGCTGGCCCTGTATGTGTAGCTTCCTTCTGTATATCTAAAACAGGTGGCTTAGTACAGTGGTTCTCCAACATCAGAGTGCACAGTAATCACAAGAATGCAGATTTCTGGGCCCCACCTGCAGAGTTTCTGACGTCTGGGGTGGGGCCTGAGGACTTTCATTTCTGACAAGTTTCCAATGGATAGTGATGCCGCTGGCACTTGGGTCACATTGAGTGGCACTGATCTCAGTGGCATTCCGATAAGTTGGCAGGCAGGGAGAGGAGACAAAAGACCAAAAAGTTACCGCAAGTTAAGAGACACGTGTGCTTAAAGCTGGCAGTATCAGATATGTAAAGCTTGGAAAGGGTAGGAATGAGAGAACACAGATGGATTTGGTGGCCAGGAGCCTTTTTGGTTTTGGTGTGTGTCAGGTGCAGAGGGTTGATTTAATTATACTCCTTCGTTGTATTTTCATTAGTATGACTTTGAATATTATCATTAGTATGACCAGAAAAAGATATGGCAGGTATTTGAGATAATGGTTCTGCATCTAGGGTGTGCATTAGACTCTCTTAGGGAGCTGTTTTCACCAACATAGTTAGGTTTAGAGTCCCTTCCCAACAGTGAAAACCCATCAAATCAGAATTTCAGAGCTTGGAACTTGGGCATGAAAAAAATTCCAGGAGATTTTGATGTGCACTCTGGTTAAGAACCATTTCTTTGAATAGTGATGGTTGGGAAGTAGAAGCCATGAAAATAAACAGATTTTTTTTTTTTGGTGAATTGTTGAAGGGAAGAAGAAAAAACTGGAGTGTGAGAGTTTTAAGGGATCAAGAAGATGGGAATGTGTAAAGAGATGAGAAGCCTGCTGGAGCAGAGAAGTGATTGAAGGTGTGGTGCTGAGGAACTATCATGGATGGAGTAGAGTACTGGAGCCAGAAAACAGGAGGCAATGGAATCAGGGGCACCAAGAGAAAAGAGGAGAAAAGTATGAGTGAAGAAAACTGTCAGTTATTTCACCAACAAAAATGGGTTTATTTGAGACTAGCAGAGACTTGCCATTCAGGACAAGCAAGCTATGGCAAAACTGCAGGCAAGTTCCAAGGTCAAAGGAGAAGAATGCTCTTTTATAGAAGTAAGGGGGAAGTTGGGTGGACTATTTTAAGCAAAAAAATCCATTGAAGGAAACTGGGAGTCCGTGTATGGTGGCTTCTCTTTGGCTGAATTGTGACACTGTCATTGGCTGGGCTGTTGCCAGGGTGAGGCAGAAACTCCTCCCTCCTCCTCCTGGATATTAAAGTAGCTAAGACAGTATGAGGTGTAAGGTAGCTCTTCACAGGGGGGTCTGCATTTGAGTGTTGCACACGTGCATGCCTGCAATGGTCCCTTCTTCTAAATTAGAGTTAGTGGATAGTTTTTCAGTAAATATCTGCTTTTGTGCTCTTAATA